ACTTTAAAGTAAATCCAKAGTTGAGGCAAACAAAGTGCGGAACAGACAGAGCTAATTTTATTAAAACCATAACAGTGAGAGAATGGAAGCTGTTAAGTATCATTATGTACCATCTGCCATTGTCCCTCTCTGTATATCAGCTCAATATCTCATGTAATCACAAGGAAGTTTGATGTTATTGCATTAAAATTAAAACAGGAAATGTRTGGAAGTTTTCTATTAGCTGCCATCTGTTAGCGTTATCGCGAAGCTCTGCTCCGTATGTTCCTGCTCCCTGCGCTGATGCATTATCTGTAACTTCCTGACAATACGGCGACTTCCTTTTCATTTGGTTTATTCCCATGGTCAGTTGAATTAACCACACGACCTGCTGCTTGACATCTAGATATTCACTTCCYAGTAGGAGACAGCAGGGTTACAACTCAATATCCTTTTCTATCGCCACTGGACTCACCTGAATGGAAGAGGACAACAAAACCGTCCACAATCGAACAAACTCAAATACACTTCTTCAAAGTAYAACTGCACTGAAATCTGCCAGTATGCATTTAAAAACATATTTTTTTATGACCGCAGCTAATCTGAGCATCTAGGCTTGTTTAAATGTTAGATGCAAGAAAATAAAATCTTTCTTTTCACCGTTACGTGCGTGCTGCCATTTAATTCAGGTCAAACTCAGTGACGCAGGACCAAACTGCACCTTGTGCACTTCGTGTTTGTGTGGAGGCTCACGCGATGCAGAAGTCACGGGCGTCACATGAGCAAACTCGCGCACGTGYGCAAATTCACACAGAGACGGTCGCGCTGCTCCGTGTGCGGTGAGAGGACCCCGAGGGGGGCCGCTGAGCTGTCAAAGCAGGATGGATGAAGAAGCTGGCTCGCATAGCAAAGGGCTCTGGGGAAATCCCACCAACATGACACACACACAGACCCCACTCCTCATGCACACACACACACTGGAAGACACTGTCAGTGGACAAGATGCGTTTTGAACTGCAGATTTGTGAATTTGCATGTTATTCTGAACGCAGAAGCAAAAAAAAAAATGTAGTGAAATCATACATGCACACTTGCACAAAACCACACAAAATGCAGATGGTTTTTTTCTGTGTTTGTGAACTGAAACAACCTCCAGAATCTTCAACAGAACATCTGATTCTCATAAAAATGTTCAGGAATCTCCATTTAGCACACTGAAGGTATTTATCGGTTAGATACTGATGTTAAAAGCAATACACCATTTTTTAGTTTCCCTTTTAAGTATTGACTTTTATGATCTAGTGTTTCACGATTGTTATGTCTTGATTAAAATAGTGTAGATCCATGCGCAAACCACCAACAACACATAGAAAAACCATTATCAATTCATTAGGGAAGGYAATGTTTGTTTGAGCAGCCTGYGATGCAGCCGTAGGCCTGTAGTGGGCGCACCAGGCACTGAAGAACCGTGTATGTATAAAAGGCGGGAACTTACGGTTTGTTTCCAGCTCTGCTTTTGCTGACTCCAGCAGGGAGCTATAAAAGCTTGGCTCCTAACCAGATCTGGGGCTGTATGGTCCTATTCTGTTCACATTTTAATCTATTCACTATTTATGTGGTTTCATCTCGATTTCAGTTAATGAACACTTAATTTTCTTACAACACAGCCAGTAAATAATAATAATAATAAAAAAGTACAATTAGTTTAACCCATTTTCCTTTTATAACCAGATAATGTACCAAGGCTCATATATACAGCGGGTAAAATAAGTATTGAACACGTCAACATTTTTCTCAGTAAATATATTACTAGAGGTGCTAATGACATGAAATTTTCACCAGAAGTTGGTAACAACCCAAGTGATCCATACATACAAAGAAATCAAACCATAAATGTCCAGAAATGAAGTTATTTGTAATAATGTGGGATGGCACAGGGAAAATGTATTGAACACACTTACTGAAATTTATCTAATACTTTGTACAAAAGCCTTTGTTGTCAATGACAGCTTCAAGACGCCTCCTGTATGGAGAAACTAGTGGCATGCATTGCTCAGGTGTGATTTTGGCCCATTCTTCCACAAACAGTCTTCAAATCTTGAAGGTTTCGTGGACCTCTTCTATGAACTCTGATCTTTAGTTCTTTCCATAGATTTTCTGTTGGATTCAGGTCAGGTGATTGGCTGGGCCATTCCAGCAGCTTTAGTTTCTTTCTCTGAAACCAACTGAGAGTTTCCTTGGCTTTGTGTTTGGGCTCATTGTCTTGCTGAAATGTCCAGCCACGTTTCATCTTCATCATCCTGGTAGATGGAAGCAGATTTTTATCAAGAATGTCTCTGTACATTTTTCCACTCATCCTTCCTTCAATTATTTGAAGTTTGCCAGTACCATATGCTGAAAAACAGCCCCACACCATGATGTTCCCACCTCCAAACTTCACTGTTGGTATGGTGTTTTTGGGCTGATGTGCAGTGCCATTTGACCTCCAAACATGATGTGTATTCTGGCATCCAAACAGTTCAATGTTGGTCTCATCTGACCAGACTATATTCTCCCAGTATTACACAGGCTTGTTTAAATGTTGTGCAGCAAACTTTAAAGGAGCTTCAACATGCTGTTTCTTCAGCAGTGGAGTCTTGCGTGGTGAGCGTGCATACAGGCCATGGTGGTTCAGTGCATTACTTATTGTTTTCTTTGAAACAATCGTACCTGCTAATTCCAGGTCTTTCTGAAGCTCTCCACAAGTGGTCCTTGGCTCTTGGACAACTCTTCTGATAATTCTTTTCACTCCTCTGTCAGAAATCTTGTGAGGAGCACCTGGTCGTGGTCGGTTTATGGTGAAATAATGTTCTTTCCACTTCTGAATTATGGCCCCAACAGTGCTCACTGGAACCTTCAGAAGTTTAGACATTCTTCTGTAACCGATGCCATCATTATGCTTTGCAACAATAAGGTTGTGAAGGTCTTGAGAGAGCTCTTTACTTTTACCCATCATCAGATGGTTCTTGTGTGATACCTGGCCATCATTTGGGACTGAACCAGCTGATATTAATTTGCACTGACAAGGGACAGGCTTGTTTTCTAATTACTGAGAGAGTTCAGCTGGTGTCTTGGCTTTCCATGCCTTTTTACACCTCCCTTTCTTCATGTGTTCAATACTTTTTCCTTGTGCCATTCCACATTATTACAAATAACTTCATTTCTGGACATTTATGGTTTGATTTCTTTGTATGTATGGATCACTTGGGTTGTTACCAACATCTGGTGAAAATTTCATGTCATTAGCACCTCTAGTAATATATTTACTGAGAAAAATGGTGACGTGTTCAAYACTTATTTTACTCACTGTAATATATACTGTATGTATATATATATATACATATAATACAACATTATGGCTACAAAAACAGCAAAAAGGCTCCTAAAAAGAGCTGCAATAAAAACTAGAATCCAGGTTTGTGACAACAGCTGCCTGCGAACCCTCTGGAAACGTCGACACTTCTGATCACCATAATTCTAATTTTATTTACAAACTGCTTTTAAATAGGCTCTTAGCCGGTTCATCATCTGACTGAACGAGCAGCTTTCCCCTCAGGCTGTTYCGTACAAGAACATTTTATCAGAACCCCAGACTTCAGAAATGACTTTGGCAGGAGTACGCCTCTTAAAGCTGACAAGAAACAAAAAATAAAATATGTTTTTAAAAAACGATAAAAATAAAACCCAACTCGCAATAAACTTTAAGAGCCATCTGACAGAACAGTTTATGGCGCACATYAGCACAAATCGCAACAATACGATGAGAAAATGAGTGCTTTTGCAACAGTTGCAGTAGCAGGTTTGGAACGAGGAAACAGAAAGACGACGGTTGTAACGACGGAGCAGATCTTGTAAATTGAAACAGTCTCGATTCAACAGAAAGGATTTCCTCAATGAGAGTGGTAAATCTCCCTGCTTGGAAAAAGCCTGAACAATCCATTAACAATAATAAAGGCTGAGCAGCAGGAAGATCGACCCTTAAAGGCGAAGGTCAGCCTGATATTACGACTTTAAAGGTTTCCTATTACGGCTAAACTTCAATATAAGCGTTCACCTCGCCTTTAATGGCTGCTGGCTATGCACCGGCTGAGCGTATACGGACAGTTGAAACGCACTCTTTGTGATATTACTGGATAGTGGAGAGCAATTTACGGGTCTGTTTCTGCGCTGCCAGTTGGAGGTTTGAGGGTTGTTTATTAAAATTGCCACAGATGTGAAAGAGATCTCCTGATGTGGTCCTACCTGAGAATTCAGACACCRCCGCACCTGGCCTCAAAAGTGCTTAAGTAGCATTTTTCCCCCCTTTCTTCTGACATCCTCATATTCCCTTTGAACTACGTCTTTTTCCAGCTGCTAGCCCCAGATGCCCTGATGTGCCTTTGTTTCTCACAATTCATTGCTTCTTTTTAGACACCAAGGCATTTCTTTGATAAGACATTGAGTTACATGCAATCTTGCGCTTACAACTTTTCTTTCATTCTTTCCTTTAACCCACTTTTCCCTGCCAGGTTTTCTCCTCTAGAGTGTGACTTCAGAGGAGCGACACAGAAAGGAGAGGAGGACGCTGCAACAGAGCGCGGGAGCTGAAGAGGAAAGAGGCGAGAGTGCAAGCTCTTAAGTAGATTGCAAAGAACAGCACAGAGGCATGAGTGTGAATATTAAAAGGGCTTTCTTCTGACCGAGAAGTTCCAGCCTGCAGCAAGTGCAACACCAGGGGAGGGATGATGGTGACAGAGAGAGGAAAAAGAGGCAGAGAGGAAGAAGAGTCCCACAGAATACTCGACTATTTGAAACGGACAAAGACGATTAGCTGCAGGTGTCATACATCACAGCCAACACAATCTGTCAGGCTGCCCAGCTGATCGGAGAGGAGAAATTACTGTAATTGAATTCGAGGAGAGGCTCCTACCAGGAAACGTGATGATTTCGTTTTTTTTTTCCTCCATGAAATAAATGAAAAGAGGTCAGGCGGGAAGACTCACCTGGAATTCCTGGTGGGGTTTTCAGGTATTTTCCATTGAAATGCTGAATCACAACTTCACACTTCTCTGTGGACTCCATCCTGCAGGAAAACAATGTTAAACAGGCTTCAGTTTTGAAATATTTACTATCCATTTGCAGCAAAAGCTGACAACATAAAATTCCAGAGTCGTAAATGCTCCGCTTTACACGCTCCAATAAATTATTCTAATTT